GAACACAGGATAGATCAGTCTGAAGAGGCCCTATATAAATACTACCACCTGTGCCACTGTGAGATACAAAAAGTTGCGCTAGATTTCCAGTCTGATCCAGCATGGCATCTCTTATGTGCTTATGTAATTGTGCAAGTTATTGCTGTGCTGACCTGCTGTAAATACACGATGCCACTGACTTGTAAATAGTGTTGTGTCATATAGGGCCCCAACAGACATTATATTTATAGCAAGATGGCACCTGTTAATAACACCCATAATTATGCAACATGATACAAATTAAGTCAATAGTGCCATAAAACGGCTAACTGGGCACAAAGATGTTCCATATAGAGGGCAGGTCTACATGGTGCCCTACAGCAATGTAGTGACATGCTATGGCAACATAGCAATCACATGTGTCTACATGTGATTGCCAGTAGGGCTGTGCAAAGCTCCAGTCGCTGATTCGCTTCAGCCCGATTCAGTGGCTGAATCTCTGAATCTGAATCAAATCAGAGACCCTTTAATTTCTCCAAATCCATTCAGAACCCTCTGAATTGATTTGAAGAGACACAGCTTTATGTTTTTTCTACATACCTCGAGGTACCAGGCAGCTCGTGAATGCTGGGGTAGATGGAGCATCCCATGGGAGCGCAGGTGGGTCCCCAGCGTGCTCAGCGGCAGACCCAGAAGTCTGGTCCATTTCCAGGTCAGCCAGGGAGTGTGCTGCCCCCCCCACCCCCACCCCGTGCCCCCTTCAGCTCACTGACTGGTGCCTCCTGGGTCTGGGGGGAGGGGAACCCAGGGCCCCCTGTGGCCAATCGCTGAGCCAGGGGGGGGGGGGGAGGGGGGGGGGGCGCCCCACGGCCCACCCGGGGGGGGGGTGCAGGGGAGTCCCCCATACGCTCCCCAGCAGACCCAGAAGTGGGTCAGAAGAACTTCCGGTCCACCATGGAGCACATGGAGGACCCCTCCTCCCACCCTCTGGCTCAGCAACTGGTGCCTCCTGGGTCTAGGGGGCACCCAGGGGCCCCCCACAGCTGATCACCAAGCCAGGGAGGCGCAGGGGGGTCCCCCACATGCTCGGTGGCAGACCTAGAAGTGGACCAGAAGTACTTCCAGTCCACTCCCGGGTCTGCTGCTGAGCATGCAGGGGGCCCCCCATGCTGCTGTGGGATGCTCTATCCGTCCCACCATCTCAGTGTTCATGAGCCACATCTGGTAACTTGAAGTATGTAGGAAAAACACTTAAAGCTGTGTTTATGGCCAAGTCACTGATTCTCCAAGTCAGAATCGAATCTTCAGGTTCAGATTAGGCCGAATCGAATCAGGACAGTGACCCGAATCAACAAACCGAATCCCTGTCCCCTGAGTCGGGCCGAATACCAATCAAATATGGCTTCCTTCCCATACCCCTAATCGCCAGCTATGTCGCCATAGCTGTGTGCTCCCCAGGTATAGCACGCCGTTATGGTGACATAGTGACAAAATCTATCCATGCGCTATGTACACGGTGCAGTAACCACCCATACTGCACCTTGCTTTGGTACTTCCCAAAAGGAAGTACTAAAGCACGGCACCATAGCAATGGCACCATACAGCAACGTGTACACACACCCAAAGTATATAACGTTTTGTGGCTGGTTTGTATGGCATGATAAACCATGTGTGGCACATGTCCCAGACCAGGGCTGCCCCATCCACATGCCAACAATCAGCTGATTATCCGCATCCAGACAGGGCAGTCCAGGGTCCAGAACTTGGTGGGGAGCCCCAAGACTCTACACAATCTGGCAGGTTTCGAGCCTTGCCCTTCAGACTCCCGAGGGAATTACAGAGCAATGCAACAAACCTTTTGGGTTACAGGGAGTCCTGCCCTATGGACTGGGCAGGAGGCAGTCCTGAGTCTTATTACAGGGCCTAAGACTGCTTCTTCCCCAGTCCCAAAGATTAGCCATAGGGCAGCTATGTTCTAGATCCTGGGGCTGTCCTCTGTCTGATCACAATAATCACCGTATCAGGATTGGTACAGGGGAGCCAATAGCTGCACAACTCGGGGCTAGGGAATTTTACCCCCCAAGTCACATGATTTGCCATGCATGTCTGGCATGAGGGGTCATGCAAATTGTGGGGTTGGGGCATAAAATTCCTCAGACCCTAACTGCATGACTACCTAAATGTCCAGTACTTTAGAAACAGCTAGAAATAGTGATATCTTACACAAGCAACTTATATGTTTGGTATTAAGAGGTTATATCAAACTTGAATTTTTTAAACTAATTTAATTATATCTAACCTGAAAAAGATCACATTGTAATAACTATTTCCAATGTTAATACACTCAATAAGAATGGAAATAAGACCATTTGCATTAGTTAATATGATTTTCTCTTTCAACCTTGCTGCATAGTTCCATATTGAGGGGATGGTTCAACATTCACAATAATCATAATTCTATCATAAAACAATACTAGAACATGCAATCAGATCAGTTAAGTCCTTTGAAACTGAAGCCCCAGAGCACCCACAGAGTCAATGCCTAAGCAATCACTGAAAAAAATTAGCAAGGGCTCAGGCATTTAAAAAAAAAAAAAAAAGCTTTACCAGAAGCAGCAGCACATTACTTTAACCTGGTTGTGCAGCATCTTTAAAGATAGGGTGCTTTAGTGGTGCTTTTAGCTAAAGACGATTCGAATCAGCTATTAGGTAAAAAAGTGCCAAAAGGCCCCACTAAAGCACCCGATCTATACAGATGCTGCAGAGCCAGGTTGAAGTAACACACTGCCTCTTCTGGGCATATGTGGGGCTCAGAACAGGAGTTTAAAGCAAAGCTCCAGAATTTTTTTTTGTTTTTTTACATCTGCAAGCACCCACCAGTAAAAACCCAAGTTGGCACCTATGCTTTGGAAAATGCGATATTAAAATGTATTTTTCTTTTTCTTTGACATGTAAAATAGTTAACAAGAAACGAAGAAAAAGCATTAAAATAAACGTACATGCTCATTAGATCCAGACAAATTTGCGGGGTTGGGGAAGGAACCAAAGCTTCAACAAGGCTCTGTTTTAGCTATAAAGTCACAACAGTCAGTGAGATTTTGTGCCACTTCCCTATGAGACAAAGTGACTCATAGACCATGAGAAGAGAGGATTGCTTTGGCTTTAAGCCAATTGTATACATTCCTTTCAGGGCTGCTCCATAAGCCAAAGTGGTTCCCATCATGACTACAAGAACCTGGATGATCAGGCAGCAGCACTGCCAAGAACCTGGACAGCACTACATACAACCCAGGCCTCGAAATGCCCCTTTTGGCCTCAGCCTTGCCCCTCAAATGCCTTACGTCACAGCTTGCAACAGAGGACTACGAAGAGAGTCTGCAATGGTCCTCCTCACTCCCTTTGCAAAGGGAATTCTCCCATAGCCCATTTATGCTACTCTGGGCAGAAACAGGCCATTGCAGTGGTTACCCCAAGGCATATGATGGATTGTCACAACATCATCAGGGACAAGTGTACTGAATCTGGACGCTGCGGCCCTCAGCAGCAAAAGTTTCGTGTTAATGCAGTCAGCACCAGCTATTCAACACAGGTTGGCAAATATTCAACAATCTAATACTTTAACTTTGCAAATCATTTTATAAAGACTACAATGTCAATGCAAACTGTTCTGTCATGCACCTAAACAATAGGACATGGCATATTTTAGAAAAAGAAACATTTGTTGGCCATTATTAACAACTCTCATCATTCTATCCCAAGCTGTGTGATATTGCGTCTCCTCAAAGCCTCAGTTCTTAAAACTATACGAGTACCTCAGCTTGCTTTCTCTTCCTTTCATTAATTTCTAGCCTTCTAGCCAGAGAAAAGATGAAAAATGTGGCCCAAGTTCACTTCAAACCAGAAGGTAAATACAAAAAAAGGTTTTAAAACCTTATGATGTTGGGACCCAATTCATGATTTTTGAGCACCTGGGGTTGGCAAAAACAAGCAACTAAGAGGAGAAAAATCCCATATCTAGTAAAGGTCTCTGGAGTTTTGCTCTTGACCTCAACTATGAGGATACAGTTATTTCAAAGTAAATGAACTAAAGAATTGTGAAAGATACATACACACATCTAATGCCTTCTACTTTTACCTAACTTTATATATGTATACTATGCATCAGTCAGGATCTTTCAGGCTTTTGCATAAATAACTGTTTCTCTGTATACTCTCCACATTAAGCAAATTGCACATGGAAAACACATTCTTATGTTCTGAATTTAACAGTAATATCAGTTTCTGAAATAATTTTGGAAATCATGCTAAAATGGTATGGCTCTTCAACCCTGCTACTTATACACCGTGTACAGGTTTCCATCAAGCTAATGGACTCCTATCAAGAAACAGAGACCCATGCTTTTAGATCCTAATGCAGACAATCAACCCTCAAGTGTCATAACTGATAAGGGACTTATTTGCAATGATTCTTAACACCGTGTAATATAGACAACAACAAAAATACACCACAGGGAGATAGTTTCACTTACGTGGTTTATATAGAGACTCTTGCGTTTTTCTCTCACTGCAAAAACATAAAATGTAACAGAAATATTATATGCCTGAATTTTTTATTTTTTCTCCATTATAATCAAAAGTAGAGGAGGATATCCATGTGCATCATCATTAACGCACTAAGTACATGAACAGAAAGAAACATATATACCTGTACACTTAAAGGTATTCTCCATTATGGTGTCCAATTAAAGCTATTTATTCATTTGGCTATTTCAGTAAGGACTTGTCACCATGGGGAAGTTACCGGTTGGTAAATTACTCCACTAAAGCTACCTTGCCCTGAGTTAATTATAAAACTGTTCATATAGTGAGTTAGAGCAGACTAGCATACTGATCATTAACTTCCTTGTGTAGGCAAGCCTTAAGACTACAGGCATTGGCTCTCCCCCTCCTAAAATGAGTGAACCTAATCCTGCAGCTGTTACTTATGCTGAGCAGTTACACACCTGACTACTGTACGAGTACTACCCAATATCACAATACTACCCACTGTTTTGGTAAGGGTTGCAGTCAGACCTACAGTAGTTGAAGTACTTGAAGGGTTTTCCCCCTCTATCTTTAACTGTTAGATAAGCACTTGTTACAGCTAATTAAATATACGCAATTTTAATTGTTATTAATAGTCTCCCTTAGCCAGTCTGCAGCACTCTGTTCCACAATGACAATACCACTGCATTTGGTTGCCTCCAGACCAACAACTGTATATGCGGACCAAACTGAAAGAAAGTAGCAGCGACTCCAAGCCTTGGTTGAGTAACTACACTTTGGTGTACTTCACCCATTCATTTCTGTTTCTTATACTGTGCCCATCAAAGTGACCCAGAAGCTTTCCGAAAGTGCATTAAGTGACAGGACTAGCATCTGTCACATATTTCTTGTGAGAGAGAAATTTTAAAGTTTTTATTATTTCTTTTCATTTCATAGGTAGCTGACAGTACAGGCATGATCACAATCATACTATAGGCACGGACATGCAATGAGTCAGGGACATTATACAAACATACCCTTTGCCTTCACTACAGCCTTCCAGTTTTTAAATAGGCTATTCATCACCCTCTACCCTCTCTTTCCTTGTTTGTCTGTTGATTTGCTGCTGATGGTTTTTTTTCCTTCACCCTTCAAATGGCTCCATGTTCCTACCAGCATACAATTACCTGGGTAGCAGGGTTAGGACAGACCTGATGGCTAATTCATTCCATGCCTTTTACCCTCTTTCCACTCTGTGTGTATAAACAGCCCCTTCACTCTACAAACATCAATCATCACAGTGTAGATTCCTCATTCCTCGCAAGACGAAGGTTGATCTTTTCCTCCCTCAATCTTTTTCCAAAAGGTAAGAAAATTTCAAGGGTCGTAAGCCCCAGTGGAGCTGGCTGGCAGATGCCAATGATGGCTCTCTTTCTGGTTAGCCCAGCCTTAGTGCAAGGAAATTTATGCCGATGGACGGTCAGGTCTAGCAAATGTTTGTTATCTTGCACCTTTTCACCTCTGCTCCCTATTCCTCCCACAACAACTCCCCCTCGCTGCAGGGATAGAGATATTTGGTATAAAAGAGATACCAAAGACACTTCTTCCAGTTTTCCAACCCTGCACAAAGGCAATTCTTCACTACTGGCTCTAGTCAGGAACAGAACACTTTATCCTCTTACACAGCAGAAGTGCCCTTGGCCCCAGTATAATTTGGTTTCATTATAATCAACTATCACTTGGTCTCTTGGCTACAAATACTGTGTTTAGCTTCCAAGAATGATGTTTGGAGATGAACTGAAGTTGAACAGACCAAGTGCCACAGTTTAGAAGATCAGATACTAAGTCCCTCTTACATTTTCTTTTCCTTTTCTTTTTTACTTCTTTATAACTTGTTTCCTGGGAAGATATGAACGGATGGGATAGCTACCAGAACTTCTTAATTTTCTTGATTTTAAAGCCAAATGACCTGGTTCCCATTTTTGCAAGCACTTCTGAATTGTTAAAGTTGCATTTTTATTACCACAGGAGGAATACATTTTCCAGTAGTAACTGGAGGAGGAAATATGATTTTTTCTTTATTATTCTGCTCTCTTAGTATTCCTTTGTGCAATGTGTACAGGCAGTTCTAATGGTAGACTTCACAGGATAAAAGGCTTAATAATTACACATCAATCAAAACCTCTCATGTTTTGAGAACACCTAAATAATTTAGATTCCCCTTCCTAGAGAAGCAAGGGAATTACTAGTTGTGATCTGGAGAGCTGCTTTATTTCTGCCCATCCCATAAATAGGACTTTCCAAATGCTCTTCTGAAATCAATTACTATCCCAACCCTGCAAAATTTAGCTTGTAAGGACCCAATATAAAATGAAGAAGGAAGGCAGCTGTATCCCAACTAATGGAAAGGGCTATTCCTACCACAATGAAATAGAAATCAATCAAGTCTCATCCCCATTACAGAGGGAAAATTATTTCACTGAGATTCTTGGCTTTGAAAACCCTTATTTAACCACAGCCTACACATTAAGCAGTACACAGAACCTTCCATTACAGACAAAAGCACTGCCCTATTTCCAGGCGAGCACAAAGCAAATCAGCATTATGCCTTATTATGAAAGTAGTAAAATAACCTTAAAATATATGAAAAGGAGTATTTTCAATACCATGATTTAACATCATGAGCAGTTCCTTTAAAAAAGGAAGACTTTTAAAAAAAGTTACTTTATATAAGCAGGGATACGATGAACTTTTATTGAGCCTTAAGAAAGTCAGTGAAGACTACCACATCATATCAGGGCATAAGTAGCCAAAATAATCTTATCTCCATTTACATAACACCAAATAGTGTCATTCATTCTATGGGACATTCCTGAATATTTTGTGTTCTATGCAACTCACCCACTTACACAATGGGTCTGATATACGAACAGGCGTACTGCTTACTACTGTGGGGTTCTCCAATACAGGTACTCCTCACTTAACGACCTACCTGTTTAACGACCGTTAAATGCATCTTTGCTGAAGGGCTGTGCTAAAAAAAGCAACTGGGAAAAATAGACTAAAAAAAAAGTGGCACCTCTAGAGTATCTGAAAATATTAAGATGCCCCCAGCTACGTAAGACTCGAGTAAAGTATAATTTGCTTGGAAAGTCTGAACAGCAAACAACGCAGCTTGCATCTATTATTCATATCTTTGTCTGTCAGAACACTAATATGATACAAGCCCGATGCTGACGACTGGAAGTCGCTTCCATGCTGCTAGTTACATCAAGAGGCTCTCTAAACAAACAGGCTCTAGTTACCTCTATCACCGAATAAAAACATTCCATACAGTAAAGGACAATGTGAAATCTTGCTAACCCATGAAATTAACTCGTATGAACCTGGGTTCAGTTCAGAAAGGCTGGATCTTTCCTTCATAACACATGTTCCAGCACTTGTGACAGTTACAAAACATCCAACAGATAATAATTCAAAGACCTTAAAGAGTATACAGGCCTGACCCTGTAAAACCTTTCACCAGGTGAGAACCGTAGGTTATTGGAGAGTTTCTTTAACTTTTTTTAATATTTGTAATAAATAAGTAATGTTTTATAATTTGGGGTAGATTTTGTTCAAGATATCCCCTTCCGTTTTCTAGAGCCTTGCTGCATCAACAGATACAGTATGATACTGCCTGGTACCAAAGAAATGCAACTCTACTGCTTCCTGCTCAAAAGACCAGTATCAGGGCCATGCATGACCTCATGAACCAGAGTGAGTAAAGCTGTGACCACAAAATACTACACCTGAGCCAGTTAGGTTTGCTTCCAAGCAGGGCTAATTAGCCCGCCAGCAGCACTGCACTAAAGTAACTATACTACCTGAAACTGGGAGCTGTGTGGATGACTACTTCCACTTCTGGAGGTCCATGGAGTACCTGGCACTGTGCCCAGGGATTTGCTCCCCAAATACTGGCAGTTTGAGTAACAAGAAATAAACCAGTAGGCCAGAGCTTTACAATGAATTTATCACCATAATCTCCATTTACTCAAATTAGGGACTGACCTATTAAATCCAATGAAACCAAGCTGCTATTAGAGTACCTCACTCTTGTAGAGCACAGCAAAGAAAAAACAAAAAACTTTATATCCAAGTCTTTGGCTTGCACTACAGGTGGCTGTGTGCATTAGCGTAATTATTGTAGATGATTAGATTTGTCTGTTATAGATTATATCCCCCCCCCCCCCAAAAAAAGAAAGAAATGTAAAATAAACCATTCAAAAGAGACTACCACATGCATTCCAGCAAAGCATCTAGAAACAGTTTTAAGAGTGAATCTTGTAATAAATACAGCAACTTACCATCTGTTTGAGATTTACTGAGGAATATTGTGCTGGCCCGTGGGTGATCTGATGGGTTGAACTCCATGTTCAAATCTGGAAGGGAAAAACAAAGTATGTTACATAGCTTACAAACCAACCAGTGGCATACGCAATTTTTATTATTCCTTTTAATGAAGCTGAAAGACTGATCTATTTTATAGCAATTGCTTAAAAATATGATGTTTAGGCCCCACTGGGATAAGGATCTTTTTCCTCAGGCCTTTGCTGCAATAGTTGCTATTGAATTAAAATAGGCCAAGCAGCTTCTAGAAGCCTGAAAATGCAAAGGCAAAAGTTAAACATTTTTTTTTTTTTAAATGAGTTTCTCTTCTCCCCTGACCCTAGGCCAGTGGTGCACAGCCTTCCAGCCTCACAAGCCAAATGAGTGGTGCAGGGACAGTCCGTGGTCTGGATCCAGAGAAGGGTCAGCCCCATGCACCAAATCCAGACGTGAAGTGATACAGCTGTGCAGAAACCCCATGCACCATCTGGTCCACAGAGCTGTATATCCCCTACTGGGTTAACTGCTTTGTTTTTCTCCATCTACCCAGCAATGTCCCTTCCTTTTTTGTCCCCCTTCCCTGCCCTTTGTATTCCAATCAGTGCATTCAATTTAGCAGCTCTGCCTCCTGCAGTCCCTTCACAGCATGTGATGAAGTAAACAGCTGCTTATGAAAACTTATGCATCTGATTTGGTAAGTCCATAAAGGTGCAAATCTACCCACTTCCTACAATTCCTGGGAAGTACAGCTGGATGTACTACCTCAGTATTGACACGGGGTGGGCATACCAGCCTTCCCCCTTACATAAACCCCTGCGCACCCACCCCACCATACAGGATTTTCAGCCACAGGTAGCAAGGGGTGCACTATTCCCAAGAAATTCTCCCAGCACATTTCACAAAAGATTAATCTTTAAACGGGAAAATAAATCATCACATAACTGCTCCTAGACCCCATAGTTTGTTGTGGGGCTGACAAAGGTATTTTATTTCTATAAAAACTTTGCTCACATTTTAATGTGGCTTTGTGTAGGCCCCATCTATGCATTAACCAGCTCATCACATCTTAAGTGGTCATCCAGCCACATATTAAATCAATCAATGACCTGATAAAATAGAGGAATAAGCTACAAAGTTACTCCACAAATTCTGCAGCTACTTCCTATCATGCCATTAACTGAATGGTGCGGCCAGGGGCCCCTGTGGCTGGGAGCTCCATCAGCTGATGTCCCATGTGCACCCCCACCCCAAGCCTGGTAAACTGCAGCTGCTGCAATCTCCAAGCCACAAGGAGCTTCATGCACCTTTACCTGCACATAGAGGGATCCTTAGAACTGCAATGAAGGAAAAAACATCACCCAATAAGATTAAATGGCATGGGTGATAATGATGACTGCCTCACTTCAGGATCATTTCCCACTACTCTGAAATCAAGCTGCAACTCCACTAAGGTGGAAGAGCAATCAATGTGTTGATTGTAAAAATACATCATCTTTCATACTATACTCTTAAGTAAAATCTCAAGGTAAAATCCTACTGTTGAGGTTCTCTGTAACAGCCCCCTAAAGAACTGCAAGGTAAATTCAGTCAGTAAAAGCAGCTTCTGTAACACAAAGCTGAACATTTACACACAGCATTCAAACAGCCAGGTGTTTCCTTTCATTCGTGCCTATGACTATAAGATCAGCCACTCATCTTTTCAGGAAATAAAGATATTTTGGCACAGGCTTAGGTACTATTTTCATGGAATAAAAGAAATAAACGCCTATTTACCACACCTCTAAGTTGATTTTCACCTGAACAAAGTAACTAGATTAATAATGGTCACAGGGTAGAATGAATAAACTTGAAAAAGGGCCAGGGCTTTGAAGTTGTAGAAAATGTGTTATTTGACACCAACTGCAATGTTGTCCTGACAGTGAATTTAAAGGGGAAGAGGTAAAAGGGAAAGTGCTTAAGGCTAATTGTTTATCCAGTACTGAAGCATTACCAGTGGAAGGAGCTTTAAAACATGTGGATAAAGTTTCAGGTCAACCTTAGATGAGTAAAACCTTAACTTATTGAACAACTGAAAACAGATGCATACTTTCATATTAGCAGGATCAATTAATTTCTTTAAAAAATTTGTAATTACATATGTACCCAAATCCAAGATGACTTCGAATTTAAAATGACTTCCCCTCCAATACCAATAATAGGATTCTATAACATGAAAAATTAATATGTAATAAACATGTTATAGTTTTCTATGAACAGAATCGAGTGTAACCCTAAATTCATCCCCTGCACCACTGTGGTAGGAAAGGATCACCTTTAATGTATGGGTTTGCAGGATTGAGACCCAAGGTGTTGCCCTTTTTTCAGTGCAAGTTCACTTTCATTATCCAGAGTACAGTCAGTGCAAGTCGGTTCACGTGATTCACCCACCACAGGGTATTTGAACAATACCAGAATTATAAAAATACATCATTAGGCCAAAGATTGCACTTTCTACATGGTTAGGTAGTATGCCAGAATGTGTCAGGAGTGTTGACTGATATGCCATCGCGAAAGGAATATTTTGTTCTCATAATGAGAAGAGGTGAATCTCACTTGTCAATGGGAAGTTGTAATACATGTAGAAACTATAAAATCTGAAAGACATCTACAGGAAGACCATTAGAACTTTGCCTTTGGCACTGACAGAAATATAGTCCCCAAGAGTCATCGCTGTTAAGGTCACTTACAGTCGTGATGAGAGAAACAGCCTGTGAAATAATGTCATTTCAGACCATTTAGAACTTGTACTCAGACACTAAAGCTAAAACAAGATAATCAAAACGAGCCTGAACATGACATTATTGAGATCAACTAAAATAATGAAAATTGTTCTGGTGTCCACATTTTAAAAAGAGGTAAAAAAACTGGAGTGCAGAAAGTATCATGGAAGGAATTAGAGGGTTGAAGAAAATAGCCAATAGCAGACTTGTGCCTGCAGTCTGTTCAGCTTATCACAAAGATGACTGAGTGGTTCTGATGCTGCATCAGTTGCCTCCACAAGAAGAAAGTACCAAGTACTAAAAGCCTCTATCATAGCAGATAAAGGCATAACAGGAATCAATGGCTAGAAACTGAAGCCAGACAAATTTAAATTGAAATGAGGCTAATGAGGATGATTAGTCACCAGAACAAACTCTCAAAGTAGTGATAGTCTCTCCAAAGCTGTGCATCATCAACACAGGAATCCAGATCTTACTGAACCCATTAGGGGTGCAGGGCTGTCCTATTCCATCCTGAAAAATCCATCAACAATCCATCAACACATCTGGCCAACCTCATTTCCTTCTATGATCAGGTGACTCGTCACCTGGACGAGAGAAAAGCAGTTGACATTATATACCTAGATTTCCAAAAAGCCTTAGACCTGGTATCCCACAAGGTACTGATCAGAAAACTGGAAGATATCGGGCTCAACTGCAGGACCGTCAAGTGGGTGCAAGACTGGTTGTGGGGTAGGACACAGAGAGTCCAAATGAATGGATCGGTGTCATGCTGGCGAGATGTGGGCAGCGGCATACCCCAGGGGTCGGTACTTGGCCAAGTGCTGTTCAAAATCTTCATCAACAACCTGGATGAGGGGGTGAAAAGTCCACTGGCCAACACCAAGATATGGGGTTGTGTGGACACACTCGCAGAAAGGCTGCAGATACAAGCAGACCTAGACAGGCTGGCATGTTGGGCAGAAGAGAACCAGATGAGGTTCAACGTAGAAAGATGCAAAGTGCTGCATCTGGGAAGAAAGAACCCCCAGAACACCTACAGGCTGGGCATCGCTAACCTGACCAGCACTACAAATGAAAGGGATCTGGGGGTAACAACAGACTCCAGCATGAATATGAGCTGGCAAGGCAACATAGTAGCTGCTAGGTCCAACAAAACTCTGGCATGCATCAGTCGATACATCTCCAGTTACAGAGAAGTGATTCTCCCACTTTACTCAACATTGGTGAGGCCGCAGCTGGAGTATTGCATCCAGTTCTGGGCGTTGCACTTCAACAAGGACACACTAAAGCTCGAGAGGGTCCAGAGAAGGGCCACCCACATGATCAAGGACTTGCATGGCAAGCCATACAAGGAGAAGCTGAGGGATCTCAGACTCTTCAGTCTAAAGAAAAGAAGGCTGAGAGGGGACCTGATTGCGGCTTACCACTATATCAAAGCATACATCAGGGACTCAGTGAACAACTATTCACCAGGGCGCCCTGGGGGAAAACTAGAAACAATGCCCACAAACTCCTGGAAGATAGTTTCATGCTGAACATTAGGAAAAGCTTCTCTACAACTATGGAACAAGCTCCCTGTAGAGGTGGTGCAATCATCTACCCTAGAGGTCTTCAAGAGAAGACTGGACGGTCCCCTGGCTGGGGTCATCTGACCCCAGATGTCTTTCCTGCTCATGCAGGGGGCTGGACCCAATGATCCTTTGGGGTCTCTTCCAGCCCTATGATTCTATTTTGTAACACATTGGGCCTCTTCGCCTTAAAAACTAAGGGTCTTTTTACACAGTAATTTTAGGTGGTTTCTGGAGCTCTTAACCCTTGGATTGGCTTCACATTAACACCTTTAAAGTAGCTTCCAACATGTGTTGTTTGGCTTAAATCATGCCCCTCTAGGGCAGGATTCTCTTGAATCTGCCTAATTTAGCTCCTGTTGCATTAAGGTGGGACCACTCTCTACAGCTATTCCACCCAAGTTGAGGTCCACCACCATCCCAGGATACAATGGCCCCTCCTGAGTCAGGGAAGGTCAGGATGCCACAGTGGTGACACGAGGCACAGCACCTCATCCCTGGGCATGTAGGACAGAGCAAGTGCCACAGCCCTGGAGGACCACCAGTGGTTGTGGTGCCTCCCACCACAGTTCAGACTGGCTCTGCTCCTGCCAGGCAGAGCAAGCCAGTCCG